AGTTCCCTTTTTAAAGCAGTATTAATAGTTACTGGGAGGCCAGGGATTTAGCTCAGTGGTTCCACCACCTGCTTCGCAAGCTAAGGACCCAAGTTCAATCCCTGGTACCAAAAAAAATAAAATAAAATAGTTACTGGGGGAGTTTTTTAGCATCCTTCATAGTAAGTGGGGGGAGGGGCCTGATTTTCCAAGGCAACAAGAAAGTGACATCAAGTCAAGCCCTAAGGAGGTTGTCAGCTGTAGCGCCTACTGAATCTCTCTTGACTAATTTACAAATAGATGCATTTAAACTAGATGCTCTTCTGTGAATTAGTGCCAATTAATCCACATATATTCTTGGTTCTCATGTGGGCTCTTATGTTCACTATTCAAAGTACATGCCCCAGATCATATATTTGTGTTTTTGTTATGGTAAGTTATTTTCAAAGGCTGATTCTTGCTTTTAAATCTTGTGTGTGGAGAGATAAGGGGATGGTGTGTGTTGGCAGAGAGGCTCCTAGTCCCCCTGGTCCCAGAAACTGTCATTCCTGTGTACGTGTCCTGCTGGAGGAAACTATCCCAGAATCAATATTTGTACGGGAAAATTCCCCCATCATACCCTTACTTGATCAGATAAAAGAAAAGCTAAACTCACAGATCTAGATAACTGCTTCCTCTTCCTCTTACAGCATGAACCTCACTATGGGGAAGCATGAAAAGAGAAACTGTCTTCTAATTTATTCCTTGACATTAACCTATTAAAAGTCAGAAGAATGTTCCTTTTTAGATGACTCCAACTATGTATTTCATGCATGTGATTTCATAAAGTGAACATAAATCCTTGGAAGTGCAGGATATGTAAGTTTTTGTTTCCAAGTACCATATGTAAACACTGGTAGAATGTATCGTTGGAGTTATGATTTTTCAGTACTTCCAAGAAAAGAATATTATTTGTGTGTTGGAACAGAACATTCTCTTTTCTTTATCATCGGGGTGTTGAGGTCAAGAGACCAGCAACACTGTGAGTGTCTGTCGTGTGCAGATTGAGAGAGGCTGTGAGGTACCTTTTGCCAAGTCCGTTCTCACTCTGTTAGGTGTAATTGCAGACCAGATATTTTGAAGTCATCAAAGATGTGGCAATAAAAGTAGCATTTCCAGATAAGATAAGTTCAGTGGTAGTAGAGCTCTTGCCTAGTAGGTATGAGGACCTAGATTTGATCCCCAGCACTGCAGAATGAATGAATGAAGCATTGCTGATGTGGATAAGCTAGAGAAACAGTACTGTTTATCTTGTTTTGTATGCTCATTTATTCTTCCTTTAACTCTATTTCAGGATATTAAAAATTATGAGTAAATCTCAAAAGATAGTATCAACTCTCAGTCCTAAAACTATTACTCATTGTCCTGAATGTTTTATGTCCTTATTAAGTAAGGTAAGAAAAAGAAATGCCAATACTCCTGTGTTAGTGAGCTTTCCCATCCTTGGGACCCAGTTCCCAACACCCGCAATGGAAGGGAGGCGAGGTTTGATTGGCTCACAGTGGTAGGCTGGCACCAAGGCAGGAACGTCATGGTGCAAGCGTATGGTGGGGGAAAGCTGCTCCTCAGTTCATGGAAACCGGGAAACAGAGGAAGCAGAGCAGGAAATCCTGCCAGAGAGGGAGGGACCAGGGACCGTATGTAATACCCAGGGTCATACTTCCACAACCCAGCCACAAACCCCCAGACGTGTGCTTTACTAATCCCCTGGGTCAGTGATCCCGAACCTTTTAGAGACGAGCACCCAAACTGCAACCCAAATCCCACTTATTTATCGCAAAGTGCCAACACTGCAATTAAACCTGAACACTGAGAGTTTAGTTTAGAAAAAACAACTCACACATTAACATTTTTTGTCTTAAAAGAAAAACAACACATGTCCCATGAGTTTGCCACCACTGCCCTAGGTGGCTCCCAAGCCAATCGAGTTAACAATTAAGCTTAACCATTACAAACCCAGAACATTCTTGTTTCAAAAAAAAAACCATGAAGTTAGTAGGCGAAAATATTCCAAAATTTAAGTTTCTTTACTACTCCTTCATATTAAAATTTTAAACAGCAAAAACTCAAGTAAAGAACAGATTAAGTGCCAAAATATTGTTGGTATTCAAATGAAGTGATCGACATTGCTGTATTAATAGCTTGCCCTCCAGGATAGGACTTTTTGTATTATTTCCATTGGTTGAGTGTGATTCCTTGCTTCTGCACCCCACTGCATTTTAAAGTGGAGTTTGGAATGTTATTCCAGATTTTATTTTTCCCTTTATATCTTTGCCTCTAGTTTTTCAGAGAAAACATTAAGTGTTTTTCTTTCTTAAATTTCCTCCTAAGGGCAACTGTGACAACAGGGGACCCCCTTTGAACAAGCATGAATAGAACTTTTTGCTGAGAACAAGAAAAGCTTCTGTCCACTTCTGCTGTTCTTACCTTGCCTATAGATGTTCAGTTGGTAGGAGTTATCCTAGGTTTCTGGGGAGTCTAACAGAAAAATTTCCCTCCTTTCATAAATAGTTACAAAAGAAGCAGCTTATTATATAAGTGGGTGTAGTCAGGTGGTGCCATTCCGGTCACTTGAGGATGAATTGTTTGTCCCAGTTAACATTTACAGAGTCGTACTGTGTGCATAGCACTGTAGGTGGCCTCCGTGGTAAGTACTGCACAGCAGGTAGAAAAGGCATATCAAAGCAAAAGGCACATGTGTATTCTAAAAAATACACAGCAGAGACATATTATTTAAAAGTACACAAAATAATGCAAACTGAATCCATGATTACAGCTGGTGAACTCACCGTTAGACAGGTGGGTATGCGAGAGCTTGCTTTTGGTGAAGAGGGCAAAAAGGATAAATGCTGTGGTAGAATGTCTTAGTTACTTTGTTTGTTTCTGGGCCACAATACTTGAGACCCACAACTTAAAGGAAGAAAGGTTTATTTGGCTGACAGTTTATAGAGGTTTCAGTCCTAGTCAGCTTGTTCCAAGGCAGGGGGTCAGGCAGAGGGGCCTGGCAGGGGAGAGTTGGTCATGGCATGGCAGGCAGAAGCAGAGAGGGATCAAGGAAGGAGGAGAGAGATAGGCACTTCAGCCCATGTCTCCAGGCTTCACCTTTCCACATCACAGTTAGCTATAAACTCATCAGTGCACTAATCCACTGAGTGTCACAAACTCATGATCCATTCACCTCTCTCAAAAGTCCCACCTATGAGTGCATGAGGTTTCAGGGGGACATTTAGATCTAAACCATCACATGGAGACAAGGAATTACTTACCCTGCCTAGGAGTCATCATTGGTTGCTGCTTCTCCCTCATGTTCCTTTCCCCATCACCCTGCATTCAGTTCGTTGGCAAGTTGTGTACATTCTGTCTGAAAAATATACAGCCCAACCCAGACATGGTGGTGCATGCCATTAATCCCAGTACTCTGGGTGACTGAGGAAGGGATTACAAACTTGAGCCCAGCCTGGGCAGTTTAGCAATTTAGTGAGAACTTGTCTCAAAAATCTTTTAAAGTTAAAAAAATGTAAAATCTCTGGGTTCAATCTCCAGCCACCCCACTCCCCCACCAAATACAGTTTACCTCTTTGCCCTGCACATTGTCATCTCTAGGCAAGACAGTATCAGTAGTCCCTGACTGGTCTCCCTGCTTCCACTTGCTTCTTCCCAGTCTGTTCTTCATAAAGAAGCAAGAGGTTTAGAACAGATATATCAGATCATCCAGTTCCTAATTTAAAATTCTTTTGTGGTTTCCCTATGTTCTTAGGCACAAACCTGGATTCACTGTGGCTTATACCTTGCTTGTCATGTGTCCCTGTCTCCTACCATTGGGGACTCCATCTCTCCCTTCAGATCTAAGCCCAAATATCACTTCTTCAGAGAAACACCATCATGGCCATCTCTCTACAATGACCTCCCCGAGTTGGTCTCCTGCCACTTCCCAGTTTAATCTTTTAAGGCCCTTAATGGTGACTTTTTAATTTCATTTTATTTTTTCAAAATTATTAGTTGTAGTTGTTATTGATTCTTTTCCCTGCTAATATGTGTACTTTGTGGAGCTTTCCCATCTTGCTGACAGAAATAACTCCAGTGCAAGGCACACAATACTATAGGTGCTGAATAAATATTGTTGAAATGAAAGAGCAAGTTATATGTAGAGAAAAGCCATCCAGCCATCATGCCAGGATCAGTTAATTAAAATTTTGTAGTTGAATGTCAGTGAGAAGATGGAGATTCAAAAAACCAGGGAATTGGAGGAAGCCCTTCAGTGATGAGCAGAAATTCAGATTTATTAAGATAAGCAAAACATATGCCAAAGCCTGGCACTCGTTTTCATCTTTTTTGAGACTAATTGTTTTAGCAGTTGTGTCCAAGCTGGATTAGATAAGGAAGAGGCCTACGTCAAGGGCATCGTGTAGAGGTTATTGCAACAGTGAGGAAAAGGTGCTAAGAACTTGGATAGGGAGATGCTGGGAAAGGGAAAAGTGGATTCAGGACTCTGCAGTTTGGAATTTTGTGGTAAGAATGGAACAAACAACTGAAATATAAAATAATGTGCTTCCTTTATTATAGGATATTTACACTGCCCCCAGCAAGCCACACTTTTAGAAAGTTCTTCTCTCAATTGGAGGGAATAGAAGGCTATCTGTAACCACCAGATTTCCCTTGATAACCTACAGTACTGATGCAATGATGTCAGGATGGGTTTAGGTGAAGAAGAGAATTGCGATTAAATTTTCCTATTGCCGTCAATTTATTGGATGAAGTAATATACATGAAAAATACTTAGTACTGTGAAAAGTGTTAACTTTTCATCCAAATATTTAAAATTCATGCTGTTTTTTACATTTTATGAATCTAACATTATTTTTTCTACCAAATTGCCAACCTAAAGAAAACTGAAACTTTTTTATGGTGCTGTATTTAATATTATTATTGTTACATTTAATATTATAGTGCTACAACTAATATTATTTTTTTTTTCAAAAAAGCACTTGAACAAGATGATGAAAACAATGACAAACATGTATCTGTAACAGAAGCTGAAGGTGTTCCAGATTCTCAGGTATGATCATTTCTGTTACTTCCTCCTGTGTTGAGAGCCATAGGTAATGCGGCTGTTTGCAGATAATATAGCATTTACCTTTTGTGCTCTGTAAAAAGTCATATCAGTGGGAATAAAGTGCTTAGTTTTGATACCAAGGTAAATCACAAGAAGGGCCCTCAATTTCTAATCATATTTATAGGAGGCTCCCTTATCTGAGGTTTTGCTTTCTGTAGTTTCAGTTACCCACTGTCTGAAGATACTAAGTTGAAAAGTCCAAAAATAAGTAATTCATAAGTTTTAAATCTGTGCCACTCTGAAAACCATAATAAAATCTTGAACTGTCTGGTCCTATCCCACATAGGATTCGTTTCATTCCTTTGCCCATCGTATCCGTGCTGCATATGCTACCCACCCCTTAGTCACCTAGTAATTATCTCAGTAACCCTCATGAAGTTATTGCTGGATCACAATGCCTGCCTCACTTCATTTCATTACAGGCATTGTATCTCTTATATCATCGTTAGAAAAAGTGAACACAGTACAATAAGAAATTTTGAGAAAGGTCACATTCATATAACTTTTATTTTAATATGTCATTGTAATTGTTCTGTTTATTATTAGTTATTGTTAATCTCTTTCTGTGCCATTTATAAAGGAGAGTTTATTACATATGTGTGTGTGTGTGTGTGTGTGTGTGTGTGTGTGTGTGTGTATATATATATATATATATAGGGAAAAGCATAGCATAAGGAGGATTCAGTACTATCTGTGGTTTCAGGCGTCCGTTGGCAGTCTTGGGATGTGTCCCTTGTAGATAATGAGGAACTGCTGTATACTTTGATTCTTTGGGGAGGTACAGTGAGAGAGGATCCACTTCCAAGAGAAAACAAGGATAGAAAGTGAAGAAATGGAGGGAGAGGCCCCCCTCAGGGCAGACCTTCCCTTAAAGAAGGCAGAAGAGAGTAAGAGTTCACAGCACCAGCAGCTGGGGTTGACTAGACAAATAGTCTGTTGGCTCACCTGCCAAAGAATCTGTGCTGTCCCCTAATAGCTAAATCATGGCATGGATGTGCTTTTGGTAGCAGTGTAACTCCCAAATACTATTGTGGCATAAATACTTTGGACACTCTCATACTGTCGCCTGTTAACCATATCTAAAAATGGATCCTTTGAAGACTCTTAGGCCGCTTGACCCATTGTTCTTCATCTTGAAGGTTCTAAACCTGTTGGTTCTTGTCAGAAAAATCACATTAACTTTCTCAGTCAAGATTGCACATGTTAGCTAGGCATGATGGCTCACATCTTAGTGGGAGGCTAAGGCAGAAGGATCATAAATTGGAGCTCAGCCTAGGCAACTTAGTGACTTAGCAAGATCCAGTCTCAAAATAAAATAAAAAAATTTTAAAGGGCTGGGGTTAAATCCCTAGTACCACCACCACCTCTACTGGGGGACCGGGGGAGAGAATGTTGTAACGTTTTAATAAATACACAGCGCTTTACTGTTGTAACACTAAAGATGCTGCAGTCTACAGTCTCACTTGAAATTACACTTCAGCCTTGCAAGCAGACCTGCACAGAAACTCCCCAATTCAGTGTACTACTGAGTTGTGCTACTTAGTAGCTGAGCTGTACTGCTCAAAGGATACTTTCTCAAAGATTTCTTTAGTCATTAATTTATTGGTGGTATATTTCAAAACTTAAACTATTATCTTTTGTTTTGAACTTTTACCATGTGAGCAAAAGTCTGTTTGAATGCAATTTTATTTCTCAAAAGGACCCACAAATCTTACTCGTTGGGATTTGGGGATTTTATTCATCAACAATAATATAACCACCCATCTACAGGTTGTATGAAAGAGTGAAATCATGAAACTAGTCAATCAGTAATTACATCAAGAATAGATTCAGTTTAGGTTTGGAAGTCAAGAGTCAAGGTCATGGGGAGGCATAATTATTAGTGGTGCAGGAAGGAAAGCAGCTGTCATCTTCTCTAATGTGTGTGAGAAAGATTGATCTGCTTCCACCTAGAACTACCGGTTTGATACCATCTGTCTGAATGCCTGAGGTGGGATCAATAGTTCAAGTGTGTGAGATAAGCTTAAAGAAAACTTTCAGAATTTTGCCATCAGATTATTGAACAGAATCAGAAATAACTGTGTGTGCTTGTGGACATGTGTATAATTTACACATACAATTTATATATTTGATGTTTCATATCTATTATTTATAGAACACCTATATGCCAGACACAATCATATTTCAAATCATTGCATTCTTCACTCCAGAGTGCATTTTAAGCGGTTTAAGTGAACCTCCTCTCATTCCTTCTACTCAGTGCATGATAAAATATATTACTGTGGGAGCTGTTGAAAACTTTGGGTATATAAAAGGTTAGGACAGCCACTAACTCCAATGGGCCTTGTTGTACGTAGGTTTCCCACCAACCAGAGAACCTTAATCTCTCCTCATTCATTGGCTTCTTGTTTCCTTTTCTCCCTAATTTATGCTGTGACATGTGGACAGAGTGAAGTGAATGTTCAGACTTCACATTTGTACTTTACCTTTCCTCCAGTTCTAGTGGATGAAATACTTACATTCATATTTCTGTCTGAGGTTAGATCTTTATCTTCTCTTTCCTACTTAAGAAAATTACTCTTGAAAATGTACTCTCTCCTTCCTGCATCATCAAATGTCCCTTTCTCCTGAAGATAAATATACTAGAATGCTCCTCCTCTCAATACCAGCAAGCAAGCCAGCAACCCTGTCCTTACCAGTGCCCTTCAGCCAGGGCCTGATCCTCTCACCACATACCTCAGATTCTCTGTTGAACCATGCGCTAATGAAAGTTTTGTCCTACTACCTCAGAATAGTGTGGCCCTTTTCAAAGTCACGGATTGCTTCTATCAAATTTAATGTCAATTATATTGAGCCATCTTCTCTGATACTTGAGCAGCATTTAGTAAGTTTTCCACTTCCTCCCCCCTGAAACACTGTCACTGCTTTCCACATTATCCCTAGCGGGCTTCTTCTCCTTAGACTCCTGATTACTCCTCATCTAGCCAAATGCTAGACATTAACTCCACTCCTGAATTTATATCACTGTATTCAGGAAACCAGAATGGTACCAGTGTCCCCCTGATTTGTGTGTCTGGCCTGGACTTCTTTGAACCTTGCCCTGCTGCTAATCCTGCATCCCAGTTGGGTGTCAGGTGGACATCTTCAATGGCAAATCCTCTCTTCCGGTTTTTCAGTCCCAGTAAATAACCACTTCTTCCTTCCAGTTGTTCAGGCCCAGTATTTTAGAGACTCAAACCAAAATCTGCTGGCCCTACCTTGGAACTATATCCAGATCCTAACCACTTCTTATATCTCCACTGCTACCACCAGTTCCACACAATCTCTTGTGTGAAAACCAGTCTCCCAGCTTCACTCTCATTAATGCCTGTAATCATTTCTCTGTCCCCTCGCTCTGCTATCTCCCTTCTTATCACACATTAGCACATGATATTTCTATTTATACATATTAACTACACCCTCTATTGAATGCGAGGGACTTTGGTGCTTTGTTTGTTATTCACATCTGTAACCTCATAATCTATAGTGTATTGTTGGTCAAATAAAATCTGCCGAATGAATAAATAATTTTAAGAAGTAGGGATATATATCTGAAGAATATTAAAAGGAAGTTATAAGTTTTTAATTTAAATATTAGAAAGATTGTCATCTTGGAACAGGTCTAGTTTCAGTTGCTTTAAAACACAACAATACTTATTACTCATGATTTGACATTAAATAGTGTTAAGCTGGGCGTAATGTGCATGGCTGTAATCTCAGCACTGGGGAGCCAGAGACAGGAGGATCTGCATGAGTTCAAGGCCAGCATGGACTACAGAATGAATTTTCAAAGCCAGTATGAATTGCATAGCAAGACCCTGCCTCAAAAAAAAAAGTTTCAGAGTAGTGTTTCATGTGATACAAGACATTCCAGCAGGCTGGCTATCTAGCAGTAACAGGCTGTCTTAAATAAACTGAGATCCCTATCCAAAGACACTTCAGAAAGGACCTGGAAAACCTCTTGTGAGGGATGTTGTAAAAATAAATCTCTGACCTTGGTGGAGTTCTATTTGCTATTTGCTATCCTCCTGGAGTCTGTGATTTGGGCTACTTCATGGATTGTGTTTGTTTCTTTGCAAGTTGGAGAAATCACTAGATAAAGATATGTCACTACTCTTGGGAATAAAGTTTTAGTCATTTCTTTGCATAAATGGTTTCCTTTCTTTGATGCCCAGCAACATGGGCATCATTAGCACACACTGTTGAGACCATGAAGCTCAGGATCACATGCAGCCCCCTTCCTATATTTGTTCATTCTGCTGTGCTCAAATCCTGCAAGTTGTGTTGGTTAAAATAAAGATTCCGTAGCTCCGACTGCCCCTGCCAAGTATAACTTCAGATTTCTTTAGTATCATGCCCTGGTATGTCAGTGCAAACCATTTTGGAAAGAATTTAAGCAGAAATAATTTATAACTTGTGTATTAGAATTAACATATTTTTCTACTCCCATGGCCTACATTCACTTCCCTCATCATCATTCCTACTTAGATTCTTTGACCTAATAAAAAAAATATTATGCTTCATGGATTATTTCCAGACCCCAATAAATGAAATTTTAAGTTTTCTTTTCCTAATTTCTTATTCTTAATTAAATCTTCACCATTTTCCATGCTGCACTGGAGATGTTTTATTCATTCCCCATAGTAATTTTCCAGTTGTGAAAATGAAATTGTAATCTTGTTAACGGTGTATTTGTCTTTGGAATGCTCTGGCAGAGGTAAAGAATTGAGAAGTTTTAGACTGTTATTTTTAGGACTTTGTATCACTTCACCCTTTTTGCCCAAGCAGTTCCTGGCTAACTTTCCCATGAATTTTTAACCTCTTGCTCGGCTTTGCTTATGTAACAGGAAACAGGCTGCCAGGAACAAACAAATAGCGGCATATCAGGCACACACGTAGTAGCAAATGATTTAGTTTGCCCTGCGCTGTCTTAGACTGATACATGATCTCAACTTTAAGTCTTTAGGCATAGCATCTCTTGATTAAAACAGTGCAATTTCAGCTTTAGAAATACAAAATATTTTATTAAGGTCATGATTTAATCCAACCCGTGGGGGTGAAAAACAATGAGCTTCTGATAAGGTGAACTTGGCAGCAGTGCCATGTCCTGGGACTGTGGATTTAAGTATATCTTTGCCTTTTCTCCAACTCTCAAGGCTGGGGTGATGTGCAAGCTTCAAGAGAGAGATGACGTTGGACGCATTGAACTGGTCCAGAAGCTGGCGAGAGAACACTGTCAGTTTTTGCAGACAGACAAAAAAGAACCGGAGAAGTCTGAACATGTAAGCCTTTTTCCTCTTGGGGATGTAGGTTTAGAGGATAGAGAATGTTTCTGTCTGGTTATGTTTGAAGGAAAGAATATTTATCTTAAATTCTTTAGGTTTGGGGTCTCTATCCTCTAAAAAGCATCTTCCTTAGTATAAATGACGGTTGCTTGTAGCTCTGAGCTAGTGGTTTATGACATTGGATTATGGAAGAAGTCTTCTCAAAAGTAAGCTAGATAGAAATAGAGTATATTTAAGCAAATGTGAATATATGTCTATTATGATTCTGATTTGATGCCTTCCAAATGCAACTTTGGAAGTTTTGTTTCACTAGATCAGAGAATATGGATTTTGAAAGAACAGTCCCGTGTACTTTTATGTTTGGCATGGGGATGGATCTAATTCCCAAACAAATGTATCCTAAGTCACTAGAAATAGATAAGAACAGGACAGATTATAGATGCTCTCACCAAGTGGGAGTGTCAGAGCGAGATTTCTTGGTATCTTTTGAACACTGTGTTCCAACAAGAGTGACACTGTCTAGATGCAGTGGAAGCTGGGAGGAGGACGTTCTGCCTGGTGCCCTGAAAGCAGTTATTCAGCTTGAGCCTTGGAACTGAGAATGTTGCCCTCACCCTGGGAAGACAGTGCTGCCACTTTCTTCTGCTGTGCATTGCAGTCTGCTGATTTCATTGTTTTTAAGACTTTACTCTCAGCGCAGCACAATCCAGTATTGCTCAGGAAGGGGACCATTCCTCTGTGCTTGTAAACATGTCATTCTCTGACTTTATTTTTTCCTTGGAATTTTGTTTTCAACCCATTCTAAAGGAAAAAACAGTTGCTTTGTGTTTTTTCTGCCCCACGTCCATCAAGACAAATGACAGGGTCTTACTGAGCAGGAGAGGAGGTGACATGTTCAAGGCTGCTGGCTGTTTGGTTTTGTAACACAGCACATCCCAAGTTGTGTGGCTTCAAATTGCAACAGTTGGTTTCTCGAGGTGTGTGTGTGGGGGGGTGTAACTGGGCAATTTCAAGATAGTGATTGAACTATTTCAGGGCTTAGCATTGACTTGCAAGTGCAGTTGGAAGCCTCAGTTGCTTCTGCTTTGAGAGGTACTATGGAAAAGTTCAGGGCCTTGTTTAAGTTGTTAAAAGTACCCTAAAGTTCTACTATAGCAGAGACCGACTCCCAACATATCATGACCTACATCCTACCATGTAGATTAATTTCTCAGAACAATACTTCTTTTGATTTATTATAACTAGAAACAATTGCATATGGCCTATTTTATTGAGGTCAGGAAACACATTTCCCTACATCCCAATATCTCTGAAATCAGGATACTTCTTAACTATTGATAGTATGAAAATGTCATGGTTGATACTGTGAGCATTTTTCTTTCCTAGTGATCCTTTAAATGAACACTTTATCTTAAAATTGCTCGCAAATTAGAACCACCAAATCAGCGACAACTCAAAGTAGAGCAAGATATTTAAAAATCAAACTGTAGATTGTCACATTGCCAGAGTTAATCATCAGCATTAGACCACAAAAAAATTGTATGCTTATTGACAATATACTTGTGTTGCCTTTGTCGTATACCTGCTTCAGTCCAGAATGTTATAAACAGTTTTAGCTAGTGAGATTATAATACTCTCCAAATATGTAAGTATATAAAAATCTGAACTTGATGCTGATCACTATATAGGCTTTTAGCATAAGACAGAAATTTGGTAGTTGATTTGCAATTTTGCTTATTATTATTTGCTCTGTTAACTTCAAACCTTCACTTTAGCTTTGTAAAACACAATACTAAGGGTTTTTTCTCTTGCACGATTGTAGTATGATGGATACATTAACAGCTCTGAAGTGCTTGTGCTTCTGAGAGGGAAGATGGCGTATAAGTAAGTTTTGGAATTAGGACTTTTTCCACATAGACTTTCCCATGAATCCTAAAGCAAGGAAAGGTGAATATTAAGGATCTTACTTTCTTTGTGATAAATGTAAACTCAGCCATTCTGTGATCTCCCTTCTGCCAGATGATACTGCTTGAAACAGTGAGTTCTCAATGATGTTGCACTAAATGAATTATTCAGCACTTTTTTTTACTATAGTTTATTAAAAATACAACCTGTATGTTATTTTAATCTTCCACATCCTGGACATTTACAGTAGCTATACCTTTGCTTGTCCATTAAGTTCATGGTGTCCATGAAATCAGTGTAGCATTTTCATTTTTCTTTCCAATTGCAGTCATCTGCTCTTGATCGTGGAAACTCAGATGTAACACACACCATGTACAGAGGAAACTGCAGTTTACTAATGTAAATCTAGGTCTTCCTTTTCCTGTTCTTGTTTTAACAATAATGACCAAACCCTGAAATTATATAATGCACAGAATTATTTTCTTTTATGATTTTAAAATGTTTCATCTACCTCATCTATCATTTCTTGGTCAAAGTTAGCTAAGTAGGTGACAGCAAAATTTAAGTTAGCATCCAAGTTGCCTACTGAGTTATTGTTTTTTTACTATACTCCATTGCTTCTCCAGTTCTAGAATGCCATATCCCTTTTTATACATATGCACCAAAATAAGAAAGTTACTTTGAAGCACCACTCTGCTGGGAATGGCATGAGTTTGGTAGAACAAAGCCTATGTTGCTGTTGCATCTAATTACAAATTAAAGAGTATTAGACCTTTCTGAGTAGGGATTTCTGATATTTCTTAAACTGGCAAATGCCATGATTATAAATGGGTGCAACTAGAGAAATGTTTTGCTCTGTGGTTGTCCCAAGGTGTTTCTGAAATTAAAAAATAAAAAAGTTAAATGTATAATTATCACAGGTTCCTCGGGAAGCACGTAATTTGCCTCTTTTCTGTTAACTAGCTGTAGGCAAAATTAGGCAGCATTCATTCCTAAGTATTGAAAATTGTTTTGTGAGGGCTTAAAGAGAAGGACAGAAATGGCCTGTGTCTTCTAAACATTCTGATAGAAAGATTAACACTTAGTTATTAACTTTAAAGAAATTACCTCTTGGGTAGGCTTATATTTCCTGGTATTAATTCCATGATTATGTCAGTAGATGAAGGGGCTTGTGCTACCTGGGGACATTTGTTCTTGACATTGGGGAATGATGACTAATGGTCATAGAGAAAGGCAGGGCAGGAAAGAGCATTTTACTTAAAGAAACCAGCAGGAAGACATAATTAGCTATTGGGTGATTCATAGAGAATGGAAAAGGGCAGGCCGGAGGAGGCTAAAATTCAGCTGTGAAAGACCCAGTAAACCACCCTGAGGAGTTCAGGCCTGCCTTTCTGGCCATGGAAAGCTATCAAAGAAGGGAAGTGGCACAATCAGGTGTGGGCTCTGTCAGATCTCTCTGGCATTAGATTAGAGGAAAAATTGAGTAAGGAAGAAGGAAATGTTGGAGAGAACCTTAGAAAGCTATTATAATGAACCACATGAGAAGTATTCCCTGAACCAGGACAGTGACTGGGACCCGAGAAGGTGGTCTGTATTGAGAACCATAGAGACTCTACAGTTGGCCAACTTTGATGCACAGTGGGAAGTGGCAGATACATGTGTTATTTTATATTATGGCACTTTTGAATTGTGATTAAGGTCTCTTTGGTACAGAGTAGGCATAGAAAACTCTGTTTACCACTAGAGTGGTTGGTTACCATTGCAAAAAATCCTAGATGATCCATTGGCCTTGCTTTCACAGTTCTGTAGCATATTTCAGGTGTCTGAGATCTTAGTGCTTATCTCATCAGTGAAATGTTAAATGGTGGTTCTAGCTAACAGTGTGGAGACTACATAAACTTTCTTTTCAGACCAATTCTTTTGAAATACTTTAAGCAGAGAGGATCTCTGTTTGCCCAAATGAACTGGCTTGTATGGCAAAGCTTTGACATTTTCTTTTCTTTTTCTTTTTTTTCTTTTTTGGTACCAGGGATCGAACTCAGGACCTTCCGCTTTCGAGGCAGGTGGCGGAACCACTGAGCTAAATCCCAGGCCCAGCTTTGGCATTTTCTGCAATGCTATGTGGACCTTCTTCAGAAATAACTGTGACTTAGGGTTACCCTCCTGAACTATGTGGTCTTGAGTTGGTGTGATGAATATTGTTATTCTAGAATATTGTCCATCATTCATTCATTTACTAAACTTATATTTGAGTTAATGGTGTAGAGGATTTAGAATGACCATGATGGCTCCTACTTCTTAAAATGTAAAATCTGGTTGTGGGGGAAATTTGTTGAAATGAGTAACAGAGACATGAGGAGACTATGGTGAGAATACCAAGAAAGACACATGGGAGCAAGAAGAATAATTTACAGTTGGGGAAACAGAAGTTTCTTTTATGGTAGAGGTAGAATTCGACCCAGACTTTAAAGTAGGTTTTGAGTTGGATTTAAACAATTTTAATGGAAGAAAGCATTCCTAGTGAGAAGAATTGCCTTAAAAAATGAATAGAGATATTAAAACACAACATACTTTTGAGAAATCTGAAACCATTCTGTGTTTCCAAGTACTGTACCAAGAGTTGGGAATCAGGGAGGAGATAGTTATAAGGAAAGATTTAGTGGGACATGAGATTGAGACTCCACAGTGCAGCATTTTGAGATATGAGGAGCCAGTATTTGATTTTGTAAAAAAGGAGGGTGAGGTGGGATCTTTACAAGGTACATGATACTTTGGATCTGACAGATTAGAAAGGTGAGACTGAGGAGTGGTTGGGCAGAGCTGGGTGGAGAGCAAACTTGCTCCCAGAGTGCATCTTCCCTCAGCCACCATTATTGGAGTCAGGACCCAGTAGGCTTCTGGGAAGCCAAGATGACAAGAAGCGTGATAGTCCTGGGAAAGAGAGAATAGATGAGACTGGCAGCCCTGGAGGAAGCAGACAGAATGATTACCAAAGAAAGGATGGTGTGATGGATGTGGGGAGGGAAGGGGAAAGCCGATATGCTTGCTTAGCTTACGTCTTAACTTAGATTTGAAAAGCTCATAAATGTTTGCATTTTAGTAGCAATAAAATAGCTGTATTAAAGTATATGACCAGAGGTGGGTCCTGTCTTCTAGACTATATCATTTGTCAGAAAGCTGAAATTATATTTTTCCTAAAATGTAGCTTATGCTTTGTAGTATATGAAATTATAAACTAGAAATACCAACAATAGATCCTAAATTCGTTTCATAATTTCTACTTGTAGAAATGAACAGCTATAAAATGTATGTGAGAAACTTGTTCAGCAGTAGTTTCCCAAAGAGCCTTGTCTGTATCCCTGCCTCTCCCCACCCCATTTTCTTCGGTTCCTTTGTTAAGTCTGAGGACCCACCCTTCCTTCCCCTTCTCTAATTCACTCATGAAATATGGGAGGGAAGGGGATTTTGCAAATTCTGAAGTTGAATCCTGGCATAGTGTGCTGTCTACACCAGGGTAGGGTCCCTATCACTCAGCCCCTACCGGAATTTCCCTTTCCCTGTTTCCTGCAGCCTCATCCTGGAATTCTGCCTACGTCAAAGGGTTCCTTGTTTAGGGAACACTAGGAAAGAAGTGATCTGGAGAGTTCTGGCTACTCTTACTTCCCCCCACCTCAATATTGAGGATTAAAGACAAGATTTGAGCATGCTAGGCAGGCCGTCTTCTACTGAGCTACATTTGCAAGCCTTTTGGGTCTTACTGAACTGTCCAGGCTGAGTTGCTCCTGCCTTAGCTTCCCAAGCAGCAAGAATTACAAGCATGTGGCACAGTCAGGCTACTCTTATTTTACATATTAAAAGTTAGTCTCTATCTTTATTTTAACTTTAATAATGACTTAAATGTAAGGTGGAAATCTTCAGTTTGCTCTTTATGGATTACTAAAGGGAAAGATGTTTTATCATTCTGTGTGCAAACTTGTATTATGCATCTGAGTAAGTCAAGGCAGGTAAGTCAGGCACTCTCATCACTATTTGATGTTTACTAGTAAATCGATTTAACTAAGAAATCAAAGTAGAATTTTATAATGTTGTTGCTCTGTATTGAAAGCCAGAATCCAGATGTAATAGGTAATTCATTGTATATTAAGTTGCCCACCTGTGAGCTGAGAAATTGAACTGGAGCCATGTTATTTTTCTTAATAACAAAGTCTTGACTATGTTGGGTTGGTATTAAAGTGTCTTTTCATAGAAAATAGGCTTCCTTTAGTGAGTTGTTCTAGTCCATTTTTAATCAGGATTAATCTGGCCTCAGAGTAACACAAAAGTAGTAGAAGATGGTTCTTGCCTCTGAGAAGTTTACAGTTTAGGTGGGAAAAGAATTTATTCTTGGAAAACAAGTAACCATTCAAGACAGCATTTAATGAAGTGCCTAAATAATTTCACAGGTGTTGAGAGAGAGGGAAATAAATCCAGTAAACACATTTCACAACTGCAGCCATCTATGCTCTTCCCATTTATTCAGGAGCAAGGTTACAAGTTTGGATCCCTCTGTGTGCTTTTTTAAGTTCTAAAGGGTTGTTTTCTCCAGGAAAATGGCAGCTATACTGCCGGTGCAAGTCAGCGACGTGTGCATGCTGTCTGATGGAACCATCTGCTCATTAGCTGTATTTTTAGGTTCTCAAATGCAGCCCATTGCAAGTCCTAACATTTTCTAAGTTAGTTTCAGTGATTTTTAAGAGAAGAATCTATCATTGTGCTATTTGTTTATTTTTCTGAAAATGTTCAAGTTTATTTTGAAAGGCTCAATTAAGAAAATGGATACTGGCTTACTTTAATTTATCAACTCATGTTATCAAAGGATCTTTTATTTCCTGAAATACAGATGCTGCTCCCTGGGTTTATTAGGTTCTTATTCTTATAAAATTAAAATAGCAGTATCCTCTCCAATGTACTTGGGAAATTATTAAAGTGAATTATTGAAAACTTGGTTCTTTTTCTCTGACTTTTGCACACACACACACATGCGCGCTCGTGCAGTGATGTGTCTCACTGGCAGCCGTATATATTCTTCACTACCTCCATGCAGGCATGCAGGTCTGGCCTGCTTTAACACAACAGTATTAACACTGCCTAGACGGTGTCTGGTCAGGCAACACTAGAAACTTATGGCAGTTTGGTTTTATTTGGATTTATAATGGACACTTGAAAGCAAAAAGTTACAGAAAAGATACACAGATAGATGGGCTCTCCCCGTGATAACCCTGTATCCCTGAGGCTTGGAGAAATAAAAAGATGTCAAGGAGTAGGGAAACACAAGTACCAGTTTATAGCGTGCAGTTGATCCTCAGGGACTACCCTGATACCGCTGATGCTGTACAAGAAATTCCAAGTCTGAATCTGCTTTTACTCATGTGGAAAGCTGTAGTATGGAAGCTTCTAACATGGACCTCAACTAGTCCAGGGAGTCATGCACATTGCCCTTAGGAAGAGGCAGAATTTAAGGGGTCAGAAAAGTGAGGAGACATGAGGGCTGGCCATTCCAGCAGAGGAAAGAGCAGATGGGATGATTCGAGGTGCCTGATGCAGACAGGGTATGGCGGCTATGGGGGCTGGGAAAGAAGAGCCAGGTGGCAGAGGCACAGGACCCTGGAAGTGCAGGACCTTGTGGGCTAGCCAAATATTATGTGTTTAGAGCAATATCACGCTCTTGTGAAGAATTCAAGCAAATGAGAGAAAGATGACTACACTTTGAGATTCCTCTGCTGCAGCTTGGGAATGCGTTTGAAGGAAAGCCTAGGTCACACACGGTTCTTTCAAAGCTCTCTGACCCTCCTTTCCCCACAGTCCTCTCTTGTTCCACATGAAGCAATAACCAGCATACACAACGAAGATCTGCTATGAAGCACTCAAGTCCAGGGACTTCAGTTCCAGTGAAGACAGACTATTCAGTTGTAGCTCAATTTAATTTATTAGCCTGACCCTGAAATAACACTGTACTTCATCATTTTTTTTAAAAAAGTTGACTTGGATTCAGTCCTGGCTTTACAGAAATGAATTTTAAGCATGTATATACCTATGATTTGAAATCCTTCTGTTAACAAACTTCATTCAAGCAGATGTGTTCAACTTTAAACTCAACTTCCTCTGTTATATATTTGCCTCAAATTGATTCAGCCAAAGTTTGGTGATTTCTCAGTGTTTCAGACACTGAAGTTGATAAAAATGAAAAAAAAAAGAGTTTATAAGAGGTTTCCATGTAGGATGCAAAGAACCTTTTTTTCCTTTTGCACCAAGAAGTGGGTGGAAAAGAAAAATTCCATCTGCTATCCAGTAACCCTTAATGTTGTTTTAAGATAATAAAAACAGAAGATTGCTGAAAATATCAGAACATAACATACTGTGGGCAAGTATGCAGTACATATTTTTCTAACAAATCATGTTAAATACCTCTATTATCCTTAATATAGCACCATGTTCTTATTTGTCATTACAAAATAATTTCCCTTTAATTTTTAAAAACATTGTCTACTTCATTATTATTGAAGTAAAAATAATTATTATTTAGGTCTTTACAAATCAATGCTGTAGCACTTAGGTTTGCTAGAATAGATTTTTGTGGGTTTTCTCCTTTGTGAGTTTTCTCCTGTATCAAAAATGGAGAAATAATATATACCATGTATGTTAATTTATTGTGCTTTTGTACATAATTTAGTGAAAAAGGCTCAACAATTGTTACCTTTGTAAATGTCTTCTCTGTGCAGGTTCCAGGAATGGCTGGGCATGATTGAGCCCCAGTGAGTCATAATAAAGAATTAGGAGTTGTTCAAGATCTAAGAAACACATAGTAGGAGAGGATATGGTGATAAAAAGACAATTAAGATGACAGGAAGTGGCTTGGGGGTAGGGATTTGTAAGAAGGCTCAGGAGAACTTAATGAGTCACAGGACCATATCCCAGCAAGCTTAAAGGGTGGAGGTGAAAGTAGACTATGTGAAGATTAAATTTTGGCCCCATATCATCAAAGAACGATTCTTCATTCTGATGATTTGTTAAAGTTTGCATGATCTTGCCTTGGCCAGGATTTGTAGAGGTAGAATACTCTTTATGTTGATACCTTTGTGAATAGAGTTCTAATGATCCCTTAATGGTTCAATGCATGATAAAATCCCAAACTGAATTTTATGGTCCATGGATACTTTCACATTCTCCCTCCTCAGTGAACTTACTGTTATTGCAAGTCAGGGGATTGTGATTTTTCACAATCAGTTTGAGTAGCCGGGAGTTTTCCTTTGAGAATCATAAGCATTGGAAAGAGCTTTAGATACCAGATGTCTTGGTAGCTTGAGTAAGAAACTGTTTCTTTCAAAAATTGTCATCTGCTAAGTAGGATTATAAGTAATTTCCTCTAAAATGGGCAATAAATACTATACAGTCATTTAGTTCTGTTGGAAGTTCATTAACCACAAGAAAATGTTAAAATATTTCTGTTGATGATAATCTTATAATGAAGCAGATATCTTTTAGGCACTGCCTTTAGAGGCAAAAAAATCATTAATAAAAATAGCAATTACTGTAGGTCCTTTAGGTTTGTTAAATGATGTTGTAATTCAGTCTTTGTGCTTTTAGCTCTTAGTGTTCCCAAGGTTATATTTTGTGGGGCCCTAATTTGAGGCTAACATGATTGAAGTGACCCTTGCCCTCAATAAAATGCTTTTGTTGAGCTACTTCTCCCCTATTTATTAGGAGTTACCCCATGGGAAAATTAGCAAATGAAAGAAGGCACCAACAGTTTTGTTAGTAAAAAATAAATAGAATCATTCAGGGCTTCTCATTAAACCCCCATCAAGGAGCACATACCCAAAAATTATCTCAGCATTATAAAACAACACTCAGGGGCTGGGGATTTAACTCAGTGGCACCGAGCCTGCCTTGCAAGCACAAGGTCCTGAGTTGGATCCTTGGTACCAAAAAAAAAACCCAAACCACCATTCAGTTATGTCCCTAAAAATATGAGGAAAGAGAATAATTAAAGCCATGGAGTTAATATTGTCCCCTCCAATATGTATGTCTGGAAATTTTAAAGATGTAATTGAGTAAAACTATAGGATATAAGATGGTAGAGAGAGGAGCTCATGTGTTATGGCCTAAGTTGGTGCAGCCTTACACTTGCAGATTTGAGATTAAGGAATAAACCTGTAGGACATTAAAAGGAAGGATGAGGCAGAATTAAAAGACCAGCACTAAAATCTAAAAGAAGAAATATTGGAACAAAAGAAGCCAGTTTGGGACTGGAGGTGTAGTATAGTGGTAGAGCACTTGCCTACCACGCACCAGGCTCTAGGTTTAACAGTACTGCAACAACAACTTCCACAAAAAAGCCAATTTTATTTTAATTGTCTTTAAGGAACATATTTGAATGCCAGATGCTTGTTTACCGAAATCTTTCATGACTTGTTGAACTATTAATTCCCATCTCACTTGTCATTTGGCAAGCAAATCTGACCTTAATCTCAATTTTAACTAAATCCCATTTCCATTTCAAATCAATAAGCCTAAAATTCCTGTCTTTCAGTATTATTCATAGTCTTGGCATACAGAGAAATGAACAGACCTGAGGAGATTTACCATGCCCTGGAAAAATCCCCATTAATAGAGATCAGAATGGCCCTAGGTACATTCACCTGCAGATGCCTATGCCCCTGCGCCCTACCTCCATGGTTTGCCATTTTTGCATCTTAGCTCTGACTTCTTCTACTTTGCTATTCCACATCTGGCTGGTCCAGTACCTTTGGAAAAGATTGCAGTGAAAGAGTATCCCCTATGGGCCCAAACTTGAGCTTTGAGATTGCTTTAACCTGTAGTAAAGAAGCCAGGAGTGGTGCCCTTTCTTTCTAAATGACAGACAGGGTGGTAAGATGCAGGCATCTCACCCTGGGAGACCCCGTGAAGGGAGGAAGTGTTGTGTTGTACAAACCTGTGGACAGCCCAGGGTGAACGGAGGCTGTGAGCCAAAGACAGAGGGAATTTGATGTCTTCAGAGAAGGGCCAGCATCCCTGGTGAGCAGAGCAGGCACTTGGTTTCCCCACCATTAACAGCTTGCTTCAGAGTCTCATGCTTGAGCTCCCAGAGATGATGAGCTATGAAGAAGTCATATCTTTGTGAGATATGAAGAAGTCAAATAGCTACTTAGCATGCTACCACCACTGGTGGTCATTTAGGTGCAAGACTGAGAGTTGACATTGTTGATGAGCCAGATAACTTTTTTTAAATTTTTTTTTCTTTTTCCAGTACCAGGGATTGAACTCAGGACCTTGCGCTTGCAAGGCAGGCACAGTGCCACTGAGCTAAATCCCCAGCCCAACCAGGTAATTTTTAATGTTGGTACAACTTCCTTTTTTCACACAACAGCCCAAGATTTTTAGAGAACCGGCCAAGATTAACTTATTTTTGCATTCTTTCATTGAGAGAAGCCTTTTCTAAGCACCTGTGACCTTGGCATCCTATAAAACAGCAGAGACAAATGAGCAAGATGTGATTTGAGCCCCCACGATACTACCATGGAGCAAGGGAGGAGAATGAGAAGACAGGAAAGTAAAGAAGGGCAATAGGCAGACAGAAGAGAGGTCTAGAAAGAGCTTCTAGAGGGAGAAAAGATTATCCCTTTGAATAAAGTATTTGTTTTCAGAAAATTGTTCTCACATTCCTGTGAGGTGTTTGCTAAAATAAGTATCATCTCTTTCACTTCCTGGGGGATTATCTAGTCAGCATGTAAATGGTGAAGACTATAAATCTCAAATCTAAAGGAGGTTACATCTCATATCTAAAGGTTACATACTGTCCCCATTTTCTAGCTACAGAATATATTATTCAGAAATAAATAATATGTCTTATATAGACCTTGGGCTGTTTCATTGAATTTGTTTCTGAAAAAAGACTTCATCTGAAAAAAATTTATGAGTGTTATCAGCCATAACAGTTATCAGGCAACTTGCTGGAATTTATAGCCCATTTCTACTACAGAAATTTTTGTAGTTTAAAATTGCTCTGTTAACTGAAAAAGTAATACATGGCTCTTGTAGAGAATTTATAAATAATAAAAAGCTACAAGGAAGCAAAGAAAAAGTTAGTGATAACTAAACACTGTTCCCCCTCACTTCCCTACTGTTCTCAATATTTGCATCGTTAGATTTTCCTCATTATTTCATAACACACTTTATTTAACCACCCTTTCACTTGAGGGCAAATATGTTTTCAAGATTTTGCTGTTGTAAATGATCTGTCATGACCAACTCTACAAAATTCTCTACCTAAGTTTATATTCCCAAGGATAAATTCCTAGCAGCATAATTACTGCTTACACATATGAACCTTTTATGTTTTTGCCCAGCTACTTTTCATTAAAGCTTCTGCTAGTTTTTACTTACAGCAGCAATACATGAAAGCACTTTCTTACTCTTCCATACTTTTGCCCTCACTGAATATTATGATTTTTATTAGGAGAAGTTAGGTATGTTTGCTGTGTTGATGAGGGGAGGAATACTACTTTATTCAAATTTACATTTCTTTTCTAGTGAAGTTGAATATTTACAACTTAGCTAGGGTTACCAATCTGTATTTCTTGTATAAATTATCTATTCACCTGCATGGCCCATTTTGCATTGAGATTTTTTTCCATTGAGTTGGATAACTTCTTTATAAAGGATTCAAAGTTCTGTTATATTTGTTACATATAATTTTCTCCTGACTTTTAATTGTCTTTTTTCCTAATTATTTAGTTATTTTTATACACATAGGTGAGACTGTTTGGTTGTTTGTTTGTTTGTTTATTTATACCAGGGATTGAACTCAGGACCCTGCACTTGCAAGGCAGGCAGCAGAACCATTGAGCTAAATCCCCAGCTCCAACTGTTCAGATTTTTAAAATTTATTTTGAAAATTGCCTTTAAAATTAGAAAACCATTGCCCATTTTGTGGCCAGATACTTAATATCATTTTTTTAATTTCTACTGGAATTGTAGTTTTCACTCCAGTCTTTAATATAATAACTGTGATATTTTATTTTATTTTATTTTTATTTGGTTTCTTTTTTTCGCAACAGGCCTCGCTATGTAGTTAGGCTGGCCTTGAACTCATGATGTAGCCCAGGCTGGCCCATAATTTACAACAATCCTCTTGCCTCAGCCTCCTGTGTGCTGAGATTATAGGCATGTACTACCATGCGCAGCCTTTTTATGTAATTTAAAAGTAAGGTTTTGTAGGGGAAGTGGGAGGGGTAGGAAAAAGGAAAGAAGGGAAAGGAAAAATTATGAGAACAGGAAAAAATAGAAACAAAGTCTTTGTAAATAGAGAAGGGTGGAGGGGATGAAGGGAGGGAAGGGAATGGGGAAAAAATAAGAACCAAGATGCATCATGTAAAGGTACAAGTTCCCAATGATAAATGTAAATGTATTGTATACCTAAAATGTACCAATAAAAGAATTTAAGGGGAAAAATAAGTAAGGTTTCTTGGTTACCTATCAAAGGCATAATTTTTCTTCAGTTAATTTATTTTGTGACTAGGATATAAAAATCCATTTTAGGGCTGGGATATAGCTCAGTGGTAGAGTGCTTGCCTAGCATGCACAAGGCCCTAGGTTCAATCCCCAATTGGACGGAGTGGGGGGGAGGGAAGAAGGAGAGAGAGGAAGAGGGAGGAGGGGATCCATTTTATTCTGGAGGAATTAAAATTTTATTAACAAATTTCCTTTCAAGTTAAATATGTTGAATATAGATTTAGTGAATCACTTTTGAACTTTAGGTATTAGAGATCTAAGATTTCTTCTAGCTCTAAAATTCTTTTCTTAACTTGAAGACCCCATTCCCCAAACTGAGCAACACTCATACTTTTGATGTTGAACTCTCCAAGTGTCACCATTTTATATTGGATACCAATTAATTGCCTAGGAAACTTTGAGCAGCTTTTTTTAAAAACTCTAATTGAATATGCCTATCAATGCCAAGAATCATTCTGTTCTTTTATATTCTAAATATATTTCTATGGATAGAACTTCTAAATATGTATTCTTGGTAAAATGGTGTTGATATGGGACAGATGGCTGATCTATCATATCCAGCTAGAACTGTATCTGCTATTAGGTTATTAAAGCCATATTTTAAAGTTGGTAAATATTTGGAATTCTTTTTTTTTAGTTCAGAATGTCTAAAGAGGACAGAGATCTGAAATTCTCAAATCTTGACAAACTAAAGAACAGTAGATCTTAAGTCCCTTGAACTCTTGGAAATACCATGAAAGTGGCCTGGTTATAGCTGTTGGCTGGATTCCTCCAATGGACGTTCCCCACAGCATAGCTGTAAACCACTTTTTTTAGAACACTAATTTATATCACTTGCATAGCAATGTCTCACAGGAAGAATTCTCTCTGTGAACAACACAGTCCTCATGTTTTACTTGAACTTTCAGCCCCAGTGTCTGACACTAGGCTTCTCAACATTTGTGGAAATGGACCTGGTAGAGAAGTCAGATGCTTCCCAAGTTCAGACATTCAAATCAAATCTGGAAAATCCAAAATTGTTTCAGCTCTGGGATTCCAGTTCCTTGGAAATTTCAAGTTTTAATTTGAAAGTTTACTATCATGGAGAATCAGCCTGGACATAGCAAACAGAAAGGCAAGAAAGTTGGTCCCCCACAGCCACTCTGTAACTGTAGACAAGCCTTTGGACAAATTCATCCGAACTGGCAAAAAGTAGGCAAACTTTTAGACATTCATGGGTCACAGTATGGAGCAAGGCTCTTACTTGGGCAGGTTTCTCTGTGAGGATTTTAATATTCTTTCGCATCCTATATGCATTTGACATTGGGGAAAAGAGAAATTTTTTATCTGTACTATCACTTACATACTTCTGTTTTCAGTCAATTCTTCTCTTTCCTCCATATATATCCTCCACCTCAGCAAAAGAGCAGGGAGAGATTATACAACCAAATTAATTTTGTTTTATTTTAAACCTTATCTTTTCACTATTACTCCATGATTTTGTGTGTTTGCTTGATTTTCAAATCATTTTATCACTATTTCATTGCATTTTAAATTCTCTTAACACATTTTAATACCAACTTTCTGTAACTGTATAGTGCACCAGAAGTGACATATGTCTTACCTTTCTCCTACTCTTGTTTCCTACTGTGAAATGAAGTATCTGAGATGGTTACCACACAGACTAAAGTAGAGCTTCTCTGAAAACATCTAGGAATGTACAAAACATGGAAAAACACTACTATTTACTTAAGATGCCTCCTATCTTCTTTACACATTCCATGCTATTAGTAGTTGCTATAGTAACTAGGAATTTTTTCATTGCATAACTTACATAAATACAGAGGCTGCCCTTTCATTACTGCTGTGCCCTCTGAAGTTACACACACATGCACACATGCTTACAAAAGAGATTTGGAGAGTTCCTACACTTGAAATTTTTCTGTTTTTTAAGTTCATTAAATCATGATTTCTTTACTTTTTAAGTTTGAAGAATACTTCTGGGTCTGTTCAAAATTAAAGGCTGGCTTTTTCTCATAATTTCAGTTTCTGAATTAGGTCTTCACTTCATCGGGAGGCATTATCAAATGCAACTGAGTTTTAGATCATATACGAGCAATTTGAAAGGAAAAGCTAAAGCCATGAGGACCAGTTAGGACAAGCCAGTTAGTGCTCTTCTGAAATTTTATAGTATCCTCTTGTTACTCAGATTATAGAAGCTTCTATAAAACTGCTACCATGAATTACTCCAAATCCCAGGTAGCAGGTATGTCTGCAACTAGATAGTAAAGTTTGTAAAACTTTGTCCTACTCATAATTTAGTGTAGGTTTTTGTCCCATCCTAGGGCAACTAGTGACATTATTTTCATTTTGGAATAATTTTACATGTATTACACACACATACACACAGAATGATTTGAGACTTTTTGAAAACTAGAAACTATTTCTGTGTAACGTATATGTTTTTATTTCTGTAAAACTTCTAGGAAAGGGCCGGGGATTTAGCTCAGTGGTTTCACCGCCTGCTGTGCAAGCGCGAGGACCAGAGTTCGATCCCCGCTACAAAAAAAAAAAAACTTCTAGGAAAACGATTTTAAGTTTATTAATTTGCCTTTTTCCCCCTAGGAATGGAGATTGAACCCAGGGCCTCATGCTTGCTAAGCAAGTGCTATACTCTTGGGCCTCAGTTTGCCCTTTTAAAAATTTCTAGTAAAATACAGTATTTTAGGGCTATCAAAATGCACCAATAAAGAGAGAGAAAATAAATGCTGTTCCCAGCACTAAATCTCCTGTCTTTTATAAATCTCAGTACAATGGAATCTGTCCAGAGCATTGTCTGGAGATTGTGTGGATGGATTGAGTTTGCATATTCCAAGTATTGATAGATACAAAATTTTTCTCTAGTGATCTTGGGTCATTGACAGTTTTTCCCTTTTTCTTCTTTTATGTGTTAGGAAATGTTGGGGAATCTAATTTAGATTTCAAGTTATCTTTTTTCTTTCAAAGTTCTTTCATATAGGCCACTCTATTGGGCTGTGCGTGTTTGTGTGTGTGTGTATGTGTGTGTGTACTGCTGTGCTGTGCGCAGTGCATGCCTATGCTTGTTGCCCTTAGACCTGGGTGCCTGATTCCAGGCCATCAAGGTGCTGGAGAAGCCTGGTCCACAGCACACAGGTGGTTGGTGGCTCAGATAATCTCGATTTCTCAGCTCAAATGACCCTTCACATATTCCCTTTGCCCTGATAAAATAACCAGGGCAAGTGAGTGGGTGTAACTCACAATTCTTAGAATGCAATCCCCATCCTATCTGGAATAGAGGAGCCATAGAGCTCTGGCTGCCTCCCCTCCAGTGACCAGTGGCTGATGGCGGCCGTTTGCTGCTGCTTGGGCCTTCCTGTCTATGCTTCGGTCACACAGACACTGAAGAATGCTCTCACTCCCTTAAAGATCATCAGTAGCCCACCTAAAGACTAAGGGTGCATAGGCACTAACAAACCATTGACATTTTATTTTAAACAATGTAAGCGTTGGAGACATCTGAATTACCTTGCCCCTCTTCTAGTTTTGGTCTCAGGGGTGTGTGCTTCTTGGCAGTTGACATGGAGGATTGAGGGGTACAGTAACAGCCAGCAAGAAACAGCTCTGCCCTCCCACGAATATGATCCATTTCATGATGCCCAGTTCTCCTGTAGCAGCGGGGCACCGAGCTGCCTCCCCTCCAGGTTCCACAAGCTCTGTAAGTGGACTCACTTCACTGCTATGATGTCCTGTCAGCGGCTCAGACAGTACCAAGGGAGTGGCTTCTGCTGCAACTGAAAATACTGATGATAGATATGTTTTTCATTTGTGTATGTTTCCTTAAATCCGGAGAATATATGTATACACATACATGAACTAAACTATAGCAAGATCCTGATACAAATCAAGTTTTCAGCATTTTGGTGTTAATGTACTTGGATGGCATATTGAAACTATATAGTTTGTGTGTTTTTCAACATCCTATTATTAAAGGCTCTCTGTGTCTAGCATGTGACTAGATTCATAAGGTAGGTATTGTTCCATTTCACAGGCACAAAAACTGATGCTCAGAGAGATTGAACAACTCAAGCTCTTGCCAGCTACTAAGTGGCAAGTCTAGGTTTTTGTTGTTCTTTTTTTAGTACCGGGGATCAAACTCGGGTCCTTGCGCTTGCAAGGCAGATGGTGGAACCACTGAGCTAAATCTCTGGTCTGGCAAGTCTAGGTTTTGAAAGTTTACCTTTACTTTGGAGGATATTGGTTTAATTTGATTCAGGCCATAATTTCTTTGAAGGAATGCCATCATCTGAGTTTAATCTTTATGCTATTAAGAATCGGTTATTACCCATGAAATAGAGAGAAATGAAACATGCTCCTGTGTGGAGTTTAGTAGGATCTTGGGGTGAGTTATGGTGGTTGCTAAACAAATTCCATTTATCTAGTCATTGATGATTGAAAGGTAATTGGGTTGGGACCATGGTAGGCCTTTTGTATACGTTATCTTTTTTAGTGCCTAAAGGCCCTCTGAGGAGTATAATAGCCTTATGTTTCAGATGGTGCTTTTGGACTTTGGGGGGTTATTTTATCCCCCCAGCAACACACCTAAATAATAGCTGGAGGGCTTGGCTGTGGATAAGGAAAACCTTGTAACCACTGTCCCCTCAGTACAGTTTGAGGCCTTGTCTGCAACTGTGAACCCCACCTTTCTCTGAGGCCCTGCCTCTCCCTGGATGAGAAGTGGCTCAAAGACCCTGAAGTCAGAATCAGACTCTGCTTCTCTGAGAGGGCTGTGCGCATGCCTCAGACTGTGTCTAGATCTGGCTCCCGAGCCTTGGTTCTTAGCCACAGGAGACCTGAACCTGAACTCTTGTTCTGCAGGTGTTTAGCTTGCATTTATCCCTTCTCCCCTAGCCTACTCTCTGGACTTAGTTCCTCTGGGGTAGAAACTCTGCCTTCTTGCCTTTGCTGACCTGTCCATCCTTGATCTTGAACCTCTCCAATTTATATCCACTTCTTTACTCATCAGCCCATTCATTCGCTTAACAGGCACTACCCCACGTGGTAGGATGAAACAGAAAACCAAATAGAACAAATCCCTATACTGTCACAGCTAATGGCAGAGTGGAACTGACCCTGCCTTTTCTCTTCAATCCTAATTCCCATATCTAGCCGTCAACCAAGAACTTTTATGTTGGGCCTATATCTTTTTCTGCTAGAAAATATTCAATAAAATTGCGTTTTTATGATTAAAAAAAAAAGCAGCTGTGTGATTGAGTACTGGCAAAGGTCACATGGGAAGTGAAGCAAGCTATAGGAGCTAAATTGCAGTACTGTTACAGGTGTTAGACAAAGAATAGTTGAGACAATAAAGCATGCATGATTCTTAGAGTTAAGTCATTAGAGACATGGTAACATACCTACTCCAGAGTTCTTAGATTTCTGAGTTGCCTACCTGATAGCAGGAAGATGGAGCCCATGGCCTATGTGATGTAATCTCAGTTGGCACAGGCTTCTCTGGAAACTGCATAATGTGAAGTGCACTAGTTTGTCTCCATTCGCATCCTCTCCTACATACTCACCGCTGCTCTGTGTCATGAGACAGTGAGTCCTGACCCCTGTGGACTGCATCACCCAGGGTCTCTTGCCCTCCAGCTCCGAATATGAGACTCTGCCGATAGGAGGCATTCGCAGATGAGGAGTGGAGGAAGAGAGAGGCCAACGTATTGCTTCTCTCTCTGTCCAGCTTCCTCCTGAAATCCTGGCAGTGACTGCAGCTCCTTCTCGGTGCCTCTCGTTTTCTCCTCCAGTTCCCCAAGGACCCAGTGTTCAGGGTTACCTCCTCTTGGCCCATCCAGCCCAGCACTGGTCACATCCGCTCTTCCCTAGCCCACGAGTATCTCAGCATTTTTGCTTGTTTTCCTCAAACCTGCCCATACTTCTGTATAAAGCCCTTTTATTAAACATTTTCAACTGGGCATGGTAGCAAATGCCTCTAATCCCAGCACTCTGGGAGGCTGAAGCAGGAATGTAGGAAGTTGAAATCCAGTCTGGGAACCTAATGACCTGAGAACCTGTCTCAAAAAAAATTTTTTTTAATTTTTTTAAAGAATGGGAGATGTAGCTCAGTGCAAAGGCCCTGGGTTCAATCCCTAGTACTCCTCCAATAAATAAAATTTCAAAGGCCTCATTGGGTGTGCCTCCATTTTCTGCCAGTTTCCAGGATAATTTAGCAAGCTAATATAGCATATTACAGTATCATTGTGATGAAGACATTAGTTTTCTATTTCAAGATGTTACAGTCTATTCCCATGTCTGCTGCCACATTGCGTAGCATGAACATAGATTCACCAGTGGAAGCTGACCCTGCATTAAGTCCCTAGGCTTGCTCTAGTATTAGGCTTCTTAAACAACTTTGTATATGGTAATAATTCTAACAGGCAATAAAATTTAATGCAGTTTATCCTTAGCAGCCAGAAGTTTTCTATCTAGTCATGTTTACTGCTTTTTTTTTTTTTAAATATGGAACGCTTCACGAATTTGTGTGTCATCCTTGCACAGGGGCCATGCTAATCTTCTCTGTATCATTCCAATTTTAGTATATGTGCTGCCAAAGTGAGCACTTTACTGCCTTTTTGAGGGCATTTGGTCAAGTTCCATAAGAAATTTGTGGTTACTTTCACACCTATGAAAGATAGGCTTTACCTAGCTTTTTATAAATTTGGGGATGATAAAGTCTGTTGGTCCCATTAGGCTTTAATTTGAGTTATAAATTTTAATATGTATGATATAAAAAGAACTAATTATTATTTAATTTAATTACTCTCCTTTTGCCAGATTAACCCGCACAAAGATGGATTTGTTAGGCCAGCACCTTTGTGGTCTAGGAATCTTAATGGCTCACCTTGACATATTTCTGCGTATTTTTCTTTTATCAGTTACATCTTGCCAGCAACATTCTTTTGTCCTTTTTCTCCCCCTCTGTTTTTTCATGAGAAAAAAAAAAATCTTGAGCTATATTGTCAGCAAATTCTGTGAAGGTTGGTCTCTTTTTGGCCAGAGGAGATTTTTTTTCAGATAAATATTCCAGTTCTGCTGTACCCACATTTACAGTACAAAAATAGATGTGGGCATTGAGGTTTGGTTCGCTAAGCTGTGTTTTTCCATAGTACAAGATGGGAGGAGATACCCAACTGCTGAATCACATTCCTT